TCTATTATTGATGGAATACATAAATATTATACATGTATGTGCATATCAAAGATAATACATTAACTCTTCTTAAATAACTTTGTTAGACATTTCATTTTTTTGTAGATATCGTGGTATGCGAGGGTATGATGTATTTATTAATTTCTTCTATAAATCTTATTATTCTACACTTTATTTGACTAATTATATTTATAATTTTGATAGAAAATATATTTTTAGTTTTTAAGGAAAAGTTTTACTTTTTTGTTTTATTTTACCATCTTTGATAATTAAAATTTATTTGTATTTATTATAATTTTTTAATTATAAAATTACATGCATTATAAGTTTTTTTTAGAAATTTGGATATGATAACTTATTGTAGCCAGACTAAAACATGTAATCCATTTTATGAGGGAATGAGCAGGTAATATAATTAGTTCAAATGGTAAAATAAAAGTTAAATTTTAAAAGCATAATATGCTTATTGAAAGGAAAACATACTTCCAAAATTATCTATGTAGGTTCTAATCGGTTTCGGATATAATCGGTTTCGGATCTAATCGTTTTCGGGTTTTATCGGTTTCGGGTATTATCGGTTTCGGATCTAATCGATTTCGGGTTTAATCGGTTCGGATATTATCGGTTTCGGATCTAATCGGTTTCAGATTTAAATCGGATATGAATTATTTAGTTCGGTTTTGGTTCGATTCGGATCATTTCGGGTTTTCGGTTATAGATCGGATCTTCATTTTTCGGGTCATTTCGGTTTCGGTTTTGGATATTTCGGTTCGGGTAATCGGTTCCGGTTCTGTTTCGCCAGCTCTAATTGTCATTACCTTTGGCCTCCAACCGTACGCATGTCATGCATCATGACGACGACAAAGAAGAAAACAGGCCTAGTCCATGATACGTCTTCTGATTATTATATTCTTCCTTTAGAGAGACCAGGTAATTTTTAACAAAACATAAATTCAAAGGTGATACTTATAAATTTTTGGAGAAAACCATATGCAACGCCTTGAAGAGACGAAGCAAGGGTGGTTTTCTATCCACAACAGGCTTTCCCAAGCCAACAGATGCAGTGGAATTGGAAGCATGAGAAGCACATAATTCCATAATTTGCAGTTGGATATTTAATAGTGATATGAAAAAGTTCACCCGGGTATCACCTCTCACACGGTTGTGCATGAAATATTGGCAGATTTAAAGGGTCGTTATAGTATTATATAAACGAAACATGCATTTGCCGATCAGAGAGGGAATTGCAAAACTTACCGTTAGAGGGTCAAACCGTATTGGTTTACTATAACAAATTTCTGAATTTGTGGAATAAATTATATGGATTCAAATATCTCACTTGTGGTTATGAGTATGAGGCAGCCCCAGTATTGCGCAACAAGATGGATCATGACAAAACTCGAAAATTTCTTCTTGGCCTTGATGATGAACAATTAAGGTCTATTTGTGAACAAATTCTTGGAGTCCAGCCTCTTCCCGACCTTAATAAAGCTTTCTTCCATATTATTCAAGAAGAAAGGAATTGCACGGTGGTCTGCTCTAGGGACGATCACATGGATGCCATGGCCTTTGATGCTACTCGTTTCGGGCCAAACCCTTTTCAGTGCATTCTTTATGGCAAAACCTGTCATATTGTTGATTGATGTTTCTTAATCATTGGCTTTCCGGCCCAAGTACTAATATTAAGAAAACTCAGTCCTACACTACTTGTTTCTTGTCCAAACAAACCCATTCTAGTTTTTCCGCGAGTAATAATAAAGCAAATGCATTAATTTATTTAATTCATTATGATCCATGAGGTCCGGACTCTGCTTGCTTCTCTATCGAGGCACATTATTTTTTAATTATTATTGATGATTATTCTAGGTCTGTATGGGGTTTTCTCATTATTTATAAAGCTGAAGTCACCGGCTGTTTGAAACAATTTTTCACATGACACACTCCCAATTTGAGAAAATAATCAAAATTGTCCATTCTTACAACGGTATTGAATTTTTAAATAAACCATTGCGGCAATTTTTTACTGAGTCTGGTATTGTACTACTAACATCCTGTGTTGGTAGTCTTGAACAAAATGGATGGGTCGAGCAAAAACATTTTCATATTCTTAATGTCACTCTCTCTCTCATATGTTTCAGGCGTCTCTTCAAATAGAATTCTAGGCGTAATGTGTGCAAACCATGATATATCTTATTAATCGCAACCCTACACCTTTTTTAGATGGTAAGTCACCCTTTTAGATGCTTACTTCCTAACCCCCTGATTTATCTAACTTAAGGGTCTTTAGGTGTTTGTGCTATGTGCGTTCTCTTCAGCGTCCCCCAAATAAATTTCATCCACATAGCATAAAATGTATGATCGCGGGATATCTCACCAAAACTAAAAGATGACGAGTTTATGATTTATAGTCCCACAATTTCTTCCACATGAGGGGCATCTCGTTTGATGAATCAATTTTTCCTTTTGCAATATAGAAGCCATCCGTTCCCCCAGCGACCCCTCTAGTTGATACTGTCTATGCCAATTTTCCTCAAGGAACCCCTAGTGTCTCGGACGTCGACCCAATTCCTGTCTCCACCTCTAGGCCGCATGAAGAGTGAAGAATCACCCACTACTGCCGGTGAGACGCTAGCCTGGACAGTCCACTGTCGACCCTTCCACCCCTACCCCAAGTCTCAACCCGAATTCGTTGTCCTCCTTCTCACCTTTGTTACGGGACTACATTTAGTATATTTAGTATTATTACTATTATTATTATTATCATTAGGTAATTATTAT